AAGCCCCCCCCCCCCCCCCCCCCCCCACTTTTTCCGATAATAACCCCTCGATTTGGGACCAGGCCCGTTCGTTCGTGCCCAGCTGAAATTTCCTCGGGAAAAGCGCGCCGTTTTTCTTGAGTTGGGTCACGTGTTTGGATTGCACCGGTTCAGGGTGAAGCACCCATTCCTTTTCCGGGTCAAAGTACGGCCAGTTGCCAACCCGGAGGTTGTCTTTGTGGACGGGAAAGGCCGAGGGGGCGCCCGGGTGGCAGAGCTTTTTTTGGAAGAAGCTTTTTTTTGAGATACGAAATTTGGGGAAGTACCCCTGTTACGTTTTTGTAGAGTTTTTTTTTGGGGGGGGGGGGGGGGGGGGGGGGAGCGTGAGTGTAAGACCAAGGGAGCGTGTGAGAGCGCCACAACAAGGTCATGGCCAAACGACAGCGTTCGAAGAGTCGCGCTCGCACGCATACAAAGATGGGCAGCAATTCAATGAGTAATTTTTAATGTTTGTCTGTCTCGTCAAGAGATGCCGTCCTCTCATTGGCCAGCCGAGAAGCGCGATCGACGCTATAATAATAACAAAATTACACGCACACATTCACACACACACACTCTCTCTACAGCTAGCAATAACAACAACAGACACCTAATTTTAACGCCCTTTTCATTGGTCAGTCGATTGACGCAAGCTCGATGCCAACAAACAATGTACACCACACACACACCTGGAGAGACCTGGCCACATTGTCCGGCGACTCGTGAACATATTCGCAAAAATCGCGATGCAGCGCCACCCAAAACTCTCCCTTGAACAGTGTGAACAAGTTAGGGAGAGGTCTCTCCACGCGCACCGGAGGTCCCGATTGTCTCCGCTGCAGGAAAGGCTGCGCCGCTCGTCGGGTCTCGTTTACCCGGTACAGACCCTGCAGGCGCATGGCGGCGGCGGGAAAGGGGGTAATTATGTAAACGCATGCCTTAGTCGGTTGGCCTCGAATAATGCCGGGGCGGAGTGATCGATATACCGTGTTTTCGCCGGCCCAGGGGGAAAAAATCATTGACATCGGGTCGTCAGAGAGGTGTCCGCACGGCAAATATCAACTTGTGCTTGCTCAATCCTGGGCAAAAAAACGTTAATTTTGATGCTGGGGCAGACCACCTTGGAAGGGATGGAGCCAGGGCGGTCGGTACAGTTGGTGGTTGGACAACAGCAATGATCCACATGGCAGACTAGACGTGATGGTGGGTAACGTTTCTTTCGAAATAGCCCCTGCAGCAGGCCTTGCTGTCGGGAGCGGGAGAGGGCATCTACACTTGTGTTTCTTTCTTTTGAAGAAAGAGCGTTTCGGATACAAACTTTCTCTGGCGATGTAAATTCTCCCTGGAAAATCAACAAGGCCTACCGCCGGAAGTCAAGAGGAGGACGGCCAAATCCACGAGTGTCGACTGTAGGCGGCAACCTCATGGAGTCTACAGTATTGCTTTCAGTGAGCGCGGGCGGGGGTGAGTATCGGGCCACCGGTCACCATACGAATGGACGTTTCCCTATAGCCATGCGGGACTTATCCCCCACCCCCCACCCGCCCATGTAAGCTCGACCCTGCCAACCAGAAGCAGACGCCCCTTTCCAAAAAGCAATCGATCGGCGGCCCACCTGGTCATCCACGTAGAGTTCCGCCCGGTTCTGTTCCATCATCGCCGAGCCCGTGACGAAATTCATCCGGCTTTCCACGAACGATCCCATCGCCACACCCATCTCCGCCGAGCTTAGCAGGGGAAAGTCCGTCGCACTGAATTTCAAATTTAAAGAGGGCAGGATTGGAGGCGAAGGTGGCGTGAGCGTGTGTGTGTGTGTGTGTGTGTGTGTGTGTTTTGTCTTACTAGCATCGCCCGCGCTAACCGGCTGACCAATGACAAGACCTCAGTCTCAGTGCGATGCAAAACACAGAATGCTTGCAAGGGCCACGATGACCCTGTCAGGGAGCGTCATGGAAAAGTCAATGCTACTCTCCGGATTAAAGACAGATACCATATGTAGCAATAATACGACGTGTGTGTGACTTCCTTCGCTTTCTTAATCATCAACCTCGCTAACTTGCTGGCCAGTCAACAGACTCGCGCGTGCTCGGTGTGTGTGTGTGTTTGTGCGGAAAACAAACGTAGATAGGGACGCAACGAACACATCAAACATGGGCACGCGAGGTTGGCAGGGAGGCAAAGGTGGGTAGGGGGACATGGGCCGGCGTGAACACCAGCACTTGTGTGTTTTGGACATGCAATAAAAAACAAGTCGTCGAACACAAGAGAGAAGTCCAGCCTCCTGCCGACGTTCCTCCACAAAAAGCTTAGTCCACAGGTGCACCAAGGGCGCTCGAAATGCTTCAGTGGTCGGCGTCGCGTTGAGATGACGGGAAAACGAGGCCATCTGCGAGTTGACCCTGGTGACGTTCCAGCGTCATCAGACCATACAAATGGGAGATCTGTTCTGAAACGCAACTGTTGGCGCTGTGTCTGCCCATCCCAGCGGTCACCACCGACGTTGCCGTGCAGGAAACGAGCAGCCTCGCCACGGGAAGTTCTGGCCTGACTACGCCGCCAATGCCCGCACCAAGCTAGCACGCGCGACCAGCGCCAACGATCAGCGCCAACTAGGACTGGGGCAGATACCATGCTGCCGCACGTACCCCGGCCGAGCTCCACTGGAGCTTGCCCCCCGCCGCCTCCACACCATAAATACGACGTACAGACCGCCTCCCATAGTGCCCAAGGTCAAGCCGCGCTGCATTGCCACTAGTACTGCTGTGCCTCGGGGGTGCCTCGGGGGTGCTTCAACAGCAGTGCTACAGATCCCCACGAGTGAACACTGCCTTGTGGGGGAGAAGTGGCCGCAGGGGGCAAGCACCAACGTTCTCGGCGGTGAGCGCCACGACGCAGGCGAGAAACGAGTCCAACACGGCGGCGGCCATTCCGTCGGACCACACCTTGCTGCTTTTTCCGTCGCCGAAAAGCAACACGTTTCTCTCCACAAACCCCACCCAGACAGCCGAGCATTTCAGGAAGTGACAGCAGGGGGATCACCCTCGTCGCGCGTACTCCCACTTCCCACCGACCACTTGACAGAGCTCCACACGCGCGCATGGGGGTAGGGGGGGGGGGGGGGGGGGTACCTTTTGTGGAGCCTGGTTGCACTCATTCCCTGCTCCCCGGTTCCATTGGAGCCCCACCGAACTGATGTACCGTCCCGCGAATGCCGGCAGTACAGCGCGAACTGGCAAACCATTTCACCAGCATGCTCCTCTCTTTCAACCCGCCCTCCACAAATCCCTACTGCCTGGCGGTAGACAGAAACACCGAAGGACTCTTGCTGCAAGCGGCAGCAGATCCGGGCGAAGAGAAATTGGCCTCCTCTCCCAATCGTTGTTCTTCCTGCTGGCTTTCAGTGAGATGCCGAACCCCCACGCCCCTGCCGCTCCGTGTCTGCCTTTCCGTCCGTAAATGGAGGACGAAGTCACATCCAGCTCCTCAGCGGACGCACGGGGTGCCACGCCTGCACCCACAACGAAGGTGCGCCCTGCTTGCACATGCCGCCAATACCCAGGACGTGACAACTCTCCCCCGGCCATTGATCTCCGACAACAGAGACAGCCGCCAACAAGGGCGGCAGCAACAGCAACAGCAACAGCAACACCAGCAACGACAACAACGACGGCCACAAGCTTATCGGATACCTGAGGTTAATGAAGTAGTCCCAGTCCCTGCTCCACTCCACGAGCGTGGACAGACCGAACAGAGCCGTCAAGGTGATGGAATACCCTCCCCACGACACGCTTTGCGCCGGCTCGAGCATCCTGGCGTTGTCCAGCCCATGCAACAGCTCCCGCACATCCGCCCGGTCCTTGTCTGAACTCTTCCGGTCCATGTGAATCTAGCAGGGTGAAGAGGCGAATCGAGTTCAGGGTCAGGCTAGGGCTAGCTAGCCCTTGCTCGGGCAGCCTTCGTGTCGTCGAGCTATGTTATTCGGCTCTTGAGTACCCAAGAGACAGCATCAGGGCAAGGATGGTTGTTGGCTGGCAGTTATGGTCCGCCACACGAACTAGTGTAACTACTAATACCAGGCATTCACGAACTAAATACTAGAAGTAGCAGGTACAGAGAAAGGCGGTAGAGCTATAGCTACAGCAATCACCATCTGCCGCACACCTCTGCGTTGCATCACCTTGGAAATATAACCGTATATACATGCGACGCGGCCGAATCTTTCCTCGCATAGAGATAAAAACCAAAGAGAATCATCAGCTAAGCCCGCTTGTGTATCGATTGCCGTCGCCTTCTAAATGACAACGGCGATTCCCTCTATAAGCTGCTCCAACCTCCTGCGGTATCCGAGATAACAGGGATCACATTGCCTCCTTCGAGTACACATGAATATGTCGATAAAATATACATGAATTTTATCCATGAACAATAAAATAGGACACAACCAACTTTTATTCGGACGCTTTCGCAAGAAGAGGAGCATTGCGGAACGATCGCGGCGAATTCCGTTCCTATCAGTTACTGCTACTGCTGTATGCTGCATAGACAGCAGTAGTCAAAGGCGTCGAGGCTCTGAGCATGGGAGACTACAGCAGCAGTAGTGCCAGTCTACAGCGGCATAGTCCCAAGCATCCGAGATAAAGAGCGATCGCAAAAGGCAGCCTGCACCCAAGAGACAAAACCGCAGATCCCGGCGAAGGCAAAAACCTCCCTCCCCACGTAACAGCGGGTTTGTGTGAAACAGACCAAAGTGGCTACAAATGTACACCGTCTCGGATAATCCAGAACATTCACACAATACACACAAACACACATCGCACGCACCAGAAAAAAATTGAGCGGGCTGTAGAGCCACGGCAAGTTTCTCCTCAGCAGCTCCACGTCCGTCGGCCCGTGCGCCATGATGAGGAAGGCGAAGCGCGCCGGCCTGGTCCCCCTCAGGCCTGGCACGGCCGCGACCACCTCGTCGTACTCCGCCTGGAAGTCTCTTCGAGGATCCCGCCAGTAGGGTGGATTTCCCGACAGAAGCTCGGACAGAGGAAAGACCCCTTCCCCACCCCCTTCCCCTCCCCCACCTCCTCCTCTTCCTCCGTTGTTGGCAGCCGTCGCGGTGTCCGCGTGACTCCTGGGGGTGCTCGAGGAGAAGGAGGAGGAGGAACTTGTCTCTCGATAGGACGTGAAGAATGGGTGCCAGTTGGAGTAGAACAGATAGAGCATCACTGCGAAGAAGGCCGCCGTTGTGCACGCGACGTGGCGTCTCCTCGTCGGTCGCGCATGGTTACGACGGGGGAGGACCATCGCGGCGCGGTTTCGTCCTCCTTGTTGGCGGCTGCAGTGCACCTATGGGCTACAATAGTCAGTCAGTGGCAATGCAAAGCTCGGCTGGGTGCAAGCGCGGTGGGTTTGGTGTTCGGAGGGGCGCCCCAGACTAAAAGCACATGGGGGGTACCCTTTTTCTGCGTGGCCTCCAAGAAGCAGACGGGGCTAGAGAGAACAAACCAAACCCCAAAAGGGTGTGCTTTCCCTCTCTCTCTGGACCTCAAACACATACCCGCGCTGGGAAGAATTCTTGTGTGTTACTCCTGTACGCAACACGCGCGCAGCTTGCGCTTTCCGGGGGCCTGCTGCTCAATCGATCCGAGAAAGGGAAAGAAGGATACGAGACCTCGATACTTCCGTCATCATTTCTTTGTCTGTGACTACATTGCTGTACACCGCAGCACATTGTACATCAACCAGCCTCCTTGATGAACAGCGGACGCGCCGGTCGGGCTGCTGGCGCCCCCTTAGCCCTCGGGGTAAGGCTGGCGGTGCTCGTGCTTCTCCTGTGCTCGTGTGGACCACCTGTCGCGACGGGCCAGGCGGAGAGTCTCGACATTGAACAGGTATGTTTTTCGCGTCCAGTGTGACACCGCTGCTGCTGTATCCGACATCTGGCTCTTGCAGTCGACACTGCTGTCGTTGCAGCCGAAACGACAGAGGTGAAATGCTCTCTCGGCCTCCCCATATATGAGGCAACCGCATCCCATCCGAGTATACACGTGTGCGGGTCAGCAGGGGTTGAAGGTGCAACCCAAAAACTTGTCAGGGTTTATTTTGATCGCTACTGCTGTGTCATACTCCATAAAGTACAAGCAAACAATTTAGGGCAGCTACAAGTACATAGACCTGATGTTTCCTTTTTTTCTTTCTTTGAAGTTCTTCGTGTATTTTAAAGTTTTCAAGTTTAAATTGGAGCGGGCGACGCTTCTCTCCCATTGGAGCGCTAATTTGTTTCGTGTTTCGGCGGCAGTCGGCTGCAGTGACAGGCAGGTAAGGTGAGGGTTACCATTTCCTTCTGCTGTTGCACAGGCGACGATAGCTGCTTACTTGTGGAATCATGTCAGGCTTTGAGATTTTATCCCGCTTGCTTGGGGCGCGCTGAGGTACAGCAGTCGACTGCCGCCGAAACACGAAACAAAATAACGCTCCAACGGGAGAGTAGGACATGTAGTTCAGTTTTTGGGCACATATACGTCCTGCAGGGATTGTAGGTGTACCTCTCCGGGTTGTGTACCCTTTTCTTGCAAAGCTTGCGTGTGCTTTCGATCTTCTGGTGGCTCTAGCATCTTCGTGACCACGGACCGAATCTTCGCTAGATTTTGGGATTAGCAACTGACACGAGTTGAATGTGAAGAAAACAACAACAACGACAACTGGGAGCAGGCGGGTTGCATCTTTGCCGCAGAGAGATGCACGACGAGGGTCATTAAGCAGCCAAGGTACACATGATTCGTGATTGAGCCGACAGTCGCTCTCTTCACACCCAACGGCAGCCACAGGCCGGCGTTTGTTCGCCGCCATACCCTGACGAAACCAATATGTTACATTCTGTAACACATGCTTACAGCAGTTGTATGCATGGGCTAGTAGTATGCACGGTGCAAGCAATGAGTCGGGACGTTGCTAACACATGCTACATACGTGTTGCACCCATGAGTTGGGAGGCGTTCCTTGCTTCTTGTTTCTTGACCCACGGTTATGTGATGATGTCTGGCCAAGGCTCATGGCCACCTCTCTAAACCTTCTCAGGCGCTGGTTGTCGTCGCTTTTGTTGGTCGTCAGGTCGGGCTGTCGTGCAGCTCCGTTCGTTGTGCAGAAGCAGCATTCAAGTTATTTCAGATCACCCGCATCCACAGCAGCGTTAGCACATGCCCGTTCTCGTGCTCGCGACGACTAAATAGAGGACAAGACAGCAGTGAATTCTTAGCAAGACAGAGGAGGGATGAAACGTAGTTGTTTCCTGGCCTACCCAGCGGTGCGTACTAGTCCCAGCCCTCTTGCGAGGAACAAGCCGAAAAATCTTGGGAGCGGCTACACATGGTGTGGTCCTCGTGTCTTGACGTGAAAATATAAACGTCTGCCGAAACGCCGGAATGAGTTTATTCTCGACACTAACCTCACGGAAATGTAGACGTTAGAAGGCGCCTTGCGCTCGCTCGTTTCGCGCCAGCCGCTCTCTCGTTAATATCTCTCTCATCCCCCCTCCCTCTCCTTCTGCGTCTCTGTTATCTCACCGATACGGCACCGGAGCACCCAAAAGCTACGAAGCACAATCGTGCCGCCATCTGATGTTTTCACCTTTTGCACTATCTCTACCCTCTCCGTCTTGCCTTCCTCTCCCCCCATACAAATGGCTCTGGAACGAAAAAAAGATTGCACAGAGGGATCTGTACGCCGTGTTGGAACTAGAGCCAGGAGCGGCGGCGTTCGATGTGAAGGCGGCGTATAGGAAGCTCGCGAAGAAGTGGCACCCCGACAAAAATCCAGACGACACTCAGGTGCGTGTAGTGGTGCTACTGCTGTACGTTAGCTGTACGTTAGTGGTGGTGAAGAGGGATTCTTATGTTCCTGCTGTGGGTACGTTTGGCACAAGTTTTTAAAAACAACACGTGCGGCGAAAAGTGGCCACCCGCGCTGTTCGTACGTTTGGCATAAGTTTAAAGAAAAACACGTGCGACGAAACGCGGCCACCCGTAAGTAACTGTGTAGAGTAAAATACGATATGCATACCACCAGCACGCATGATGGCCCTCGTGTATGCACACGGAAGGGACGCATGGCGCCGTTTTCCAAGCGAGCATGGGAAAATGGCATCCAGCTGAGCCACCCGCACAGCTGCACCGCGAACGACTGCGGGCTCGCTCGGAGGGAGGAGGGACGGACGCGCAACGAATCGTGGGAGAAAAGAGGGTTTGTTTCCCGCATTGCCTACGTATGCAGCGGCAGTATGAGGCGGCTCGCCTGCACACCTCCGTTCGAAATTGGACCGCGGGCGGGTTTGTCGCTCCTCTATGAAACGCAAAGCGCGAGCGAGAGTAGAGGAGACAGACAACCGCGTGATTTCACCCGAAAACCAAGGGAAGTGGTACATGAGTGTGCGGGTGCGTCATCAAGCATGTGTGCTTTTTTTCGTCAAGCCAACCACCCGCCCTACCTGTTACCCCGCATGTATTCGCCCCCCTGGATGTCATATAGACCGCGCAGAGCAAGTTTGCCGAGATCGCGGAAGCCTACGAAGTCCTGAGCGACGACTCCTCGAGGCAGCTCTACGACCACGCGCGTCGCGTTCGAGCGGCCCACGAACATGCCAACAGCGACCACAACCGCGAACACTCGGGGGGGCGCGGACGGGGCGGCGGCGGCGGCGGCGCCGGGGTCTGGGAAATGGATCCGGAGTGGTTCTACGCTGACGGGGGTGATTGGGACGGCTTTGGCAGCTCGTTCGGTGGCGGTGCGGCGTTCGGTGGCGCCCCGTACGGCGGTGGCTGGGGCGGGGCGGGCGGGGGCGGGGCGTTTGAGTTCCGCGCTCGCGACCCGATGGAGCTGTTCGAGGTGGGCAAGGGGAGCGTCGTTTGGTTGATTGTTTTGTAAGGTATTAATGTGGGGAAATGTTTTTGGACGTGACAAAACTCTTAGGTTGCTCCCATGGTAGGTGGAGTTTGTTCGCTGCTACAATACTGCTGCCGCCGCTCTTCTCCGCTGCCTGTTGTCGCTTTCAAGACCAAGGCGTCGAGAATTCGCGTTCCAGCCTCACGCGTGCGATGGTTGTTGGCCGTTGCCTAGAGCAGAAGAGTACGATCAAGAGCGTTTAGTTCGACCCGTTCAGGTACCCGCAGCCACACGACGCCCTGTACCGCCGTCGCGTCTCTTCGGAGCGGCTGAACAAGCCCTTAGCTGCATTGTCCACGGCGGTTTCGCGTGAATCGCAGGCACTGTTCGGCGCGGGTTCCTTCGAAGGACCAGATAACGACTACTATTACGCGCAAGACGCTTACGACTACCACCACCAGCAACAGCAACAGCAGCAGCAGCAACAGCAGCAGCAGCAGTATCAGCAGCAGCAGCAGTATCAGCACCAGCAGCACCAGTATCAGCAGCAGCAGCAGCAGCAGCAACAGCAGCAGCAGCAGCAGCAGGAGGGAATGTCGTGGGGCGGGCAAGACTTCGAGCAGTACCAGGACTACGAAGATGGAGGTGTGGTGTTTCTTTCGTGCTGCTGCTGCTGCTCTTTTTAGGTACCAAGTGCGAACGACATTCGCACGCGCGTTTTTTTTTTATTGTTTTCGCCAGAAATACATACGAACAGCAACATGAGACGGCCTACCTACTGCCTTCCTTTCCGCTGTCGGGTTGCTCGTAGACCTTGATCTTCACAAGTCATGTATCGGCCATGCTCTACCTCTCTGTCTAACGCCGTCGCCGGCAAGGCTCTTTCTTGTGATTTTATTTTCTCCGGGATACAAGAGTTTAGGGGTTAGTGTGCGGATATCGAGCGAACTCTCACTACCGTAGCCCTGCGAGCCTTCGTATCCGGGCACAGAGGGCTTGGCGACCGCCCGCGGTCGGCACGAGATTGCATGCATCTCTAGGGTACCCAGAAGGTTTTCCGATTGACTGCGTGGTCACTGGTAGAGCGGGACAGGTGTATGTGCAGTCGTTGGTGCTTCGTGCCCGTTGAAAACTGTGTGCCCATCCTGTCAAATGTTCCCGGGTGATGAGAGAGAGGGGGGGGGCTATTTTAGTGTGTTGAACAAGAGAAAGAGGGAGGCTTGCACTTACTTACCCTTGGCTCACGAGCGCTTCAGGGGCGCGTACATGTGTGTTTGTGTGTATGGTGGTGTGTACTCCGAAGTGGACTATGTATCGGAGGGAGCGGGTGAAGCGAGCAAAGAGAGTACGCAGCAGATGAGCAGCAACACGTTTCGGCACGCCGCTGCTCCCCTGCGGGCGAGCTATCGTTCAACCAATGTAGCCTTGCCCATCTACTTGGTACCAGTACCAATGCGGCGGCGTTCCTCCGGCAGCTGTTGGAAGCCCGCGCATGTTGGGTTCGGGGACAAGTTTCAATCGCGGCTAGATGGGTCAAACTGAATGCGAAACAAATTATCATCGCTCAGCACGCCGGAAGCCCGCAAGGGAAAACAACACCATGTGCACCCCCACCACCACCCCCCCAAGCACTACTACGGCATGCGCGATCACGGCTACACACGCCGCCCTTGCCTTCCCCCCTCAGGCCAAATGTTCCGGCGTGTGATCACCACGGTCATGTACGGGGATGGGTCTTCGCGGTCCACGGCCCAGGACTTCCTGTTCGACAAGTCGCTCGACGCCTGGTTCGAAGAAACCGGGCCCTTCGACTACTACGGGCCAGGGGTGGCCCCCGTCGGGGAGCGCGGCTTCGGCCACGGGAACGGGCGCGGCAACACGCCAGTGGGTGAGCGAGCGCTTGGCGGGGGGGGGGGAGTTGCACCCTCTCTCGCGTTCATGGAAGGGGGAGCTTGGGTTGGCTCGGAGGAGATGAGGAGAGGATGCAAGCAGCAAGTGGTTGGTTGGGACGCTCGTCGGTGTGGTCGGTTGTTTTCTTCGTTGAGACCTCGCTTTGCTGGCTGCTTGCAGATGTGTACGGCGCTTGCCGCCTCCGTTTTGGCCTGAACGGAAACCTGTTGGGGTGTGCTCCTGCTGCTCTTGTGCCTTCGCAGCGGCGGTTACGGTAGAGACCGCCTCTATTATCCTTGTGGCAGCCGGGTGTGTCTTGAAGACGAACGTGTTTAGTTTGCCGCTTGCTCGGACCGGCAGAAGGCACGATGTGCCCGAGACCAAATGTGTACAGTATCCTCTGCCGTTGGAGCTCGAATGACTTTGGCTTCTCTTGTGTTGTGCTGATCGCAATTACTTTACCCTGCAAGCATTGATGTGGCTCCCTCTTTCTGTAAGCAAACGTGGGAGCTATCCAGGTCGGTGCCTTGTGCCACGCCCCCTGCGTACCACGCCATGTATCATCCTCTGTGTGTTGTAATATTGCGTGTGGACTACTGCTGTGGTACAAGTTTATTTGGCTCCATCATCGCAAACGACCCTAAAGGCGAACTTGCTTTTGGCTTCTTCCCTCCCCTCTTCACGCTCCTCTCTTTTTCCTTTGCCTCTGGGGGCGGACCTGAAAAAAAAAATAACATAAAAAAATAAAAAACGAAATGAGAAGACAACGTCCTGCGCATGAACGAGTTCCTCCGGGTGGGGCACAGCATCGCCTCTGTCGACCGCAAGTTCACCGCAGTCTTGGAGAGCGACTGCAACCTGGTGGTCTACCATTTGAGAGGAGGGGGGAAGAAGGTCAAGGTGCGTGCTTGGTTGGCTACAGCAGCTGGTGTTTGGCGTATGTAGGCACTACCACGAGGCGGGCTTGTTGTTGAACGTAGTGTTGTGTCGGGCTTGGTGTAGATGTAGAGTCTATGGAGATGGGGGGGGGGGGCGTGCTCTTATGTTTTGCATGCCTTAGCGGTTAGACCATTGACCACGCGTCTTCGAGAGGACGGAGCATTGTTCCCACAGGACCGATCACCGATGGCCAATCGTTCCTTCCTACTTTGCCAAAGGTGGCTCAAAAATGTCTTCCCTAGTCTGTCTATCCTAACGATATCCCTTCCCGCCTTTTCAAACCACTTGCTACTCCCCAGTACAGCTACCGTCCTCTCCTCTCTATTCCATGCCTCAAACATCTCCCTGTACGTCCCTTGTATTTTTCCCAGCTCAGTCATGTACACTTCCCTCTCCTTATTGTACAGCCGACATTCCGCGACTACATGAACACGGTCTTCGCATTCGAAGCCGTAATCACATTTGAACTTGTCGTCTTCGTCGTCTACCGTCCTATGTCTTCGTCGACGTTCGCGAAGGCCTATGTCCCCGGTCCTGAATTTTACCTTAAGCTTTGTCCCTGCATCCATTGGTCCATGCAGGTAGTCCTTGAACCCTATCCCTTCTTTCAACATTCCGTACACTTCTAGACCCTCCTTATCCTTGGTTTCTTTCCTTAGATTCTGTTTTTCTCTCTCGGCACAAGCAACATATATCTTCTCCTTGAACCCCTGTAGACCCTTCGTTTCCAGCGTTTCATCTTCGTCGATGTCTAACCCCTTCCATACGTCCTCTACAACCGTGACCCATTTCGTGGGTTGTCTACCCCTCTTTTTGTTTGCCCACTTCGCCTCCCATACTATTCTCGGCAACCTCTCCTCTCCCATCCCGCACATGCGATACTGCCATGTCAGCTTCCTTGCGTCTCTTCCCGACCGTAGGGATTGGATCCCCAATTCTGCCCTGACGGCTGCATCACTTGTGCGCTTGGAGCATCCTAGGATGATTTTCGCTGCTTTCATCTGCGCCGCCTGGAGTTTTTTCACTGCCTCTTATTTCCTTCCCATCCTTCTCCGGCGTACTCTAGCGGCGGTACGATTACGCTCTTCAAAACCGTCAATTTGATGCGTGTATCGAGGTGCCGGTTTGCGAGTATTGGGCGCAGCTTCCCTGCTCGTGCTTTGCCCTTTTCCGCTACCTTGGACATGTGTGCATTCCACGAACAGTCTTTTGCGATCTCTACTCCGAGGTATGTGTACTGGTCCACTACTGCAATCTCCTCGATCCCCCACTTCCATCTATGTTCTACTGGTTCCTCCCTGACCTCGTTGCATACCACGACGGCACTCTTCTTAACGTTGGCAGACAATCTCCACTTACCAGTAAACTTCTTCGCCGCGTCAATTTGTAGTTGCAGTCCCTCAGGGGTGTCCGACATACCAACAAAATCATCCGCAAACAGCATTCCTGACACCGAAGTTTCCGTGTCCCCTACTTTTACTCCCTTCCGGACTGCCTCTACGACTTCCAACAGATCGTTGATGAACACCTGGAACAATGTTGGGGACAGCGTGCAACCTTGTGGGACCCCCTGCTCAATGTCGAAGAATTTAGACAGTTCTCCGTCTAGCATGGCCGCGCTTTTTCGTACACTCTGTCATCTTCTTCATCACTCTCCACATTTTCCCCTTGATCCCGTACTTGGACTATTGTATCCACAGCCCATATCTCCATACGGTATCGTATGCCTTTTTCACGTCCAGGAAGAAGCAGTACGTCGGCTTTCCCGCCCTCTTTCTACCTTGGATGATTCTCCCTACCGTGAATGCGTGGTCTACGCACCCACTCTTCTTTCGGAAACCTGCCTGGCCCTCACTAATGCTACGTTCCTTCTCCAATACTCCCACTATCCTATCGTTCAGCAGCTTACGAAACACTTTTCATACTGTGTTCAACAGTGTGATACCCCTGTAGTTTCCTGGGTCAGTCTTGTCTCCTTTCTTAAACAAGTTCACAACCACTCCTTCCCTCCATCTACATGGCGCATACTCGTTTTTCCACACCCAGTTGTACAGTAGTACCATCAGCTGGGTCATCCCCTTACCCCCAAACTTCATGAACTCGTTGACTATCCCATCCGCCCCTGCTGCTTTGTGGCACTGCAGCTTGTTCACACACGCCTCAAACCTCGTCCTCAGTGAAATCCTTTTTCAGTTCTACGTTCCCAACGTCTGCCTTCGATGTCTCTTCTTCTTTCTGGGCCCATGCGTCCACCTCCTTCTTCAACACTTGGTCAAAAGCTTCATTCTCCGAAGGCACTTCAAGTCTCTTGTATTATAGTGTCCTGCTAGAACTTCCGTTTGATGGGGGGGGAGACGGTATTCAAATCTTATTCACGCTACGCTCGCGGTTGTGAGCAAGACGCGCCTTGATCTGCCGCACACGCACCCACGACTTTTATGGCCGCCCCTCTTCATCTTTGACACCGTACTCCTCTGTGGCTGTGTGTTGCCATCTAACTCATGTCATGTGTTCTAGACGTCGATGTACCTCTTTTGGCGTGTTTTCTGGAGGCACCAGACGGGGGCTTCACGCAAGAGGAAACCCACACAGGATGATGCTTTTTTTTTATTTCTCCGCGTTCTTCTTGTGGTGATTGCCTTTCACCTTTTTTCGTGAGAAGGGTTAGGATTTTTGCCGTTTTGTGTCGCTCGTGGCCCGTGAAACGTCGATGTTCCCCCTGTTGCTCGATGGAGCTACCTACCAATCGGATCATCCCTGTCTTGACGTTCCGAACGATGCGCCAGTTCGTTCTCCCGTTACCCCCGAGGGGGGCGTTCATTTCGCCGCCGATTTTCCTGTTCTTGCGTGCCATATATGGTGAGCGGTTGTTTGTCTCTCTCGACTCTTGGGGCCGTGTACATGATTTTTGACGCGGCCGACCTGGGGTCGTAAACGGACGGGGAACGAACGACTTCATACTCTTGAGCAGGTGTGGGAGACCTCGTCGTTCTCTTCGGAGGGCCGGTGCTTCGTGGCTATCCAGGACAACGGCATGCTGGTCGTCATGGCCGGGAACGATCCGAGCGCACCCGGGAACGTTCTTTGGAGCAACAACCAAGCGGTGCGTGTTCTTCGTCGTATCTTCCTTCAGTTTTTTTGTTCTACGTTTGTCGTTGTCACCCGGTATGTGGCACTCTCGTCTGTTCTGCGTTTTGTGCATGCTTGTGCGTGATTGGTTCCTTGGGATCGTTGGGGATTGTCACCACTGCCCCGCGATCGTGACTTATTGTTTTCATTTGCCGTCGCCCCCCCCTTTCGTTGCGCACAACTTCGCACTCTCTCCCTCTACTCTTATCTCCCCGCTCCTATTCCTCCCAACACTCGAATTTTGTTAATCCTGCAAATCCGTTTCAACCCCCAACGTTGTCGGTGTTGATACATATGGCGAGGCTGTAGCATGCGTGCCGCTCTGCTAAACAATACACCAAAAACTGCAGCACTGTCAACACCACCTCCCTGCACTTAACTCTACCCCCGCCCCCCCCGATACGCGCCCTTTTTTTGATGAAGCAGCACGTGGGTTGGTTCAGGCAGAACTCCTTCCACGCCGCGGTTCTCCCGAGCGGCAACTTGGTAGTATCTCAAGGGGATTCGCCTATGCACTCGGCCGCTCGGCGCTGCGTCTGGGGGGCGTTCGGGTGTCCGGGTGACGGGGGCGTGATGGAGTGGAAGCTGGTGTGGATGTCGTTCAGGACCAAGGCTGGCGACATCTGGTGCAAGGTCCGTTTCTCGCTTCGATGAGCTCTCTTGAAATCTGTCGTGCTTGCGCTTGTTCTCGGAAGGATGCTCAATCAATCAGCAGATTGTGGTACTGCTGATTTTTTCTCTTCGTTGTTTGTGCGCGCCGTGATGCTCTTGCGATGTCGTTCTTTCATTTTTTGTGTTTTGATTTGGTGTGTGTCCAATATAGCATCCCCCCCTCCCCTGTTCTACCGTGACGTTGACCCTGTTTTCTACCGCGCCACTTCTTGTGCCGTGGGCGTCGTTACAATTACAAGTACCAGGTATAACTTTAAGGCCGCCCTAAAGAGCTAGGGCTTGACGCCGACCTGCGAAGTGTCCTGGGTTTTGAGGCTGTTGACGAACGGAATGATGTGTGCCGTAGACACCAAAGTGGGAGCTAATCATGGATGGGGCAACAACACCGGCAGTACCCGATAGATACCATAGCTGCTGACGATGTGTCTTGCCGGCCCGGCACACAATCAACTCCGACACGGCAGAGCGTGAGTGCATGCGTTCATGCGAACAAGGGGTGTCGCACACCAGAATATCGCCCCCCTCCCCCATTTGTTTTGATGCTCTGTGTGCCGTACGTGGGTTATCGATCCCGCTGCACCGAGGTCAAGGGCGGCGGGCATCCAAACCCTTCTCTTGTACTCGATCGCCGCGGGGAATTATCAAGGGGCGCCGCCGTGGGTAAAACCGACTTCGCTTTCACAGAATCACATGGTCGGGCACCAACCCCTAGTGCTGTGCAGGTTGCGGTTGTCCCTCCTTACCCTCTTTCCTCGCCACCTCTCGTAACTGCCAGGTGAAGGGATGCGACGGCGACGGAGCGGGAGAGTACTCTTACTACAGCGACAGCGGAGACAACCCTGGCGGTAACGGGACCCGCGATTCTTCTTCTTGGAAGCGGCAATCAGGCGGCGGCGGCGGTGCCGGTGTCGACGGTGGTGCGTTTGACCCTTGGGCCGCCGGCCGTGGCGGTGGAAGGGAAGACGATGGCGGCGGCGGCGGCGGCGGCGGCGGCGGCGGCATCAGCCACCTGCTGACGCAACCCGGCGCCGCCATCAAGAAGGCGGCCGGGCGAGGGGTCGCGTGGTTGACGGAAGCGCTCGCGAAGATCAAGTCGGCGGCAGAAGACAGCGCTTATGCGGCCTCGCGCCCTCGCCACTGGTAGCCCTGCTGAGGGCGGCAGATCTTCTGCGACTGCGACGTAGCCAGGGGGATGGGAAAGACAGGTTGAGGATGGGTGGGGGAGATATATACACATTCGCACTGAGGTGAAGTGGCCACGACAGGCCGGGTTCTTCAACGTTTTTGTTTTCCTTGTTGTGTTGGACCACCGAGTGGGAGAGACTGCCGACAGTCAACCGATACGCACTTGTACAGCATTTTTTCGAGGACAAAAGTCATGTCTCGTGCGTTTTTATGTTTGCGTTTTGTGCTCTTACTTGTCAGCCCGCTATTGAGTGCCAAGAAGCGCGTAAATTAATCAATGCGAAGACGCTTTGAAGCCCCCAACCCCTCTGATTTCGTTCATATTCTTCGTTTTACGTGAGCGCCGCATCCAAAGTGTAAAAAAAACAAAAAAAATGTTGGTCGGTTGTTCCCCCCTGCTGCGCTGTTGCCGTCAAACGATGACGGTCTTTCTTGTTGGCGGGTTGTGACCGATTGACGTAGCCGGGTCGTCGTAGACAGGCATCGATGCGAGAACGAGAGGGTATGCGATGGGGAGGGGGGGGGGGGGGGGCTTAACCCGGCGGTTCTCATGCGACGGTGCAAATCACCCGGGGTTTCGCGCGAGGCACATGTTTTTGTCGACAATTGGGCCCGGGGTGCGGGGGTCTCATGCACGCATTGCCTTGTCTACAAAAGCGGGCGGTTGGGGGGGGGAGGGTGACGATTGGTGTACATACCCCCAAGTAGGGCAACGGGGAAAAAGCACCCATCAGTTCACCCCCCAAAGGTAAGCCTGCGAGTGAGAGCGGTCGGCAGAGGCGAATGTATGGGTGTATGTGCGTGGTGCGGTAGTCGGTAGTCACGATGTTGGACATGCGAAGGTGTCGTACAGCGGTACACACGACGGCGTCAGTATCGCCCGTTGTTGTGGTCATGGCACGAGAATGCGGAATGTCGGATGGGGTAGGGTAGGGTAACAAGGGTGGGTAGGCCGCTCGTGGGTGTTAGGGTGGTACGCTTGACGGGGGAAAGGAAACAGGGGGTAGAGAGGTGCGGCGGCTGGACCCGTTTGTTTCACGTGGAACGCTCTTCCTTGCGTGTTGCGCAGGATTGCGAGAACAGGAGCATGCTACTGCTTGGTGTGTGCAGGTGTGGTGCAAGCGATTTGAACGTGGTGACGTTTTCGTGATTTTTCCTACCGACGAGCATCGAATGGCGTCGTTTTTTATGCACGCCCCTGGTTTGTATGTATTGTATGTATTTGCTACTACTCTGTGCGTATGCCGCGTGGTGTGTACACGCGTGTGTGCACGTTTCTGTTTTTTTTTTGCTTGTGTGATTTTTTTGTTCACCGAGGTTCCATCGAGACGGGGTTTCTCCGATTTTGTTCAGTCGCCAAAGTCGTACTCGACAGTTTGATGGAGAACTGATTCTTCATCCGCCGATGTGAGCGGGGCGGGGGGGGGCGTCGTGAAAATGACAAACTGTAATTATCGTTGGTTCAAGCCAAGACTGTCGTGTTGCGCGTGTGTAAAGGGCGGCCGTGAAAAATTGTATATGTTGTTGCGTTTTACCGGAAAGTGAAGCGTAGGCTGCCGGGTTTCGAACTGGGCCGGGACGGATCGTGGTGTGTAAGTGAAAACCCTTTCGTAGATGTCACTCAGGGTTATCCTGGGAAGGCTTTGATGCTTGGGGGGGGTTGGCTGGGTAGGTCAGGGGGGTCCGAGGCGCCCACAAGGAATCCGGGACTGGAAGCAGCAGGACACGAGCGGGAAGCAGGGGTTGCCCGCGGGGCCCCTTCTCTTGTTGCGCATACGATAGGGATGGACGCAACGAATTACCGGTTTGACAGCTAGGGAGATGGTATGATTTTTTTGTTAATGGGGTCGCTGCTAATTGGTCAGCACGACCGTTTACATATCGCTTGACTCCCGCCTACTCCGTGAGACATGGCCCCGTCTTGATCCTTTGTTTCTTGAACCAGCCTACCCGAGACGACACGAAATCTTTACTCACTTTGCCCCGCCACTTGCGTGTGTAGCCCACTTGCCATATTTTGGTTCCACGTGATGTCTTCCTTTGTCACATCCCTCGATACGCACGAATGGCATCGGTGCATACCAACGGCAACGTACTCTGTGCGTAGATGGACGCAACACGATGCGCCACATATCACCAGACGTGCGCAGCGGAATATGACAAAAGGCATACGACAGCGTCCCGAAGCGTTCCCACCACCAAATCTGGAAACAAACTGGCACACGGCCGAAGGTTTCCCCCAGGCAAAAAACAAATGGTTTGACGATTTATTCTTCGGCTCAGACTTCCTTCGAGTCGGCCGAAAGAACAAATTAAAAAACAAGAAGCCAAGAGCAACGCTTGTGGTGATAAGGCCATGCCCGCAGCAAGAAGGGTCCGTCCCACCACAGCAGGATAACATACGACCTTCATCGCGGTCGGTGGCCGGTATACCCAGGCGTGTACGATTTGCTGCTTGCCCATTTCACGGCAGCAGTGTGGCCAAAAACCGCAGCGGACGGTCAGGCAAGCCGGAGGCAGCAGAGAGGAACCCAGACACCGGAAGCACACCCACAGGAGCAGGAGGAAGGGGACACGCAGACGAGACAGGGGCCGGGGGCTCCAACGTGTTAGTCTTTCATCGGTTCTCGCGTGTCAGTACACGAAAAGACTCGCGCTTGGTCGGCCGGCATCGTAAATGTATTCTAACCGTTCTTGGATGTCTTCGTCTCGCTTTGTACGCCCCCCATTACCACTTCTGAGTTCGTTTAGCCCACAACGGAAGCTTCAACCACACGTGAGACTAAACATACCGCACGAAGAAATGTAGAGCCGAACGAGTGCCGAAGACGCTCTCCAAGCAAACTATTAGGCTGGCCCCTTCCTCTCCGCGCACCAAAAACGACATAGTCTAGCGTTTAAAAGCAAAGCGTGCGTGGCTCAGAATCGCGCGTTTTTCTCCGTGCGATGTGGTGCTTCAAGAGCCAACAGGGGCAAGAAAAACCAAAACACCTTGAACAGACCAACAACGAAAGAGCCGATCGGACACAACCTCCATCAAAACTCACTAGTTCGCCGCGTACAGCTCCTTCCTTCGGCTAACCTCCTCCCGGAGCTCCCCCGTTGCCGCAGCAGCCCCTTCCCCGGCCTCAGCGCCTCTTTCTCTTCTTCTGGTACCGAGGGGAAACACAACGCCACCGGCGGTGCCGGATTCCGCAACCTGGCGCCCCAGCCCCTCCAGAAAAGACCCTGGACCGACCGGCCTCGCCCTGCCGCCGCCGGAAGGATCGTGGGGACCTTGCCCAGGGCCGGAAGGGAACGGGGGGCGGCTCTGCAGCGAAGGGCCTCCGCTTCCCCCGTCTGGTTGTTGTCTCCCGCCCCCGCATCCCGACCGCGTCGCCCCTTGCGTCGTCTTCGTCGCACCTCCCGTCAGCTCGTATGGTGGGATGATGTGTTTCTTGCCGGCGTTCTTCTGATACCTGCTTCGTTTAATGGGGGGCGTGTACATACGTAAGCGAAACAGACCCTAGACAATTAAATACCTTCCAACGTATGCATACGTTTTTTTCTTCGTGATGGGGGATAATATCCTGCAGGTCATACGGTGTTTCTTTGGCACCGGGCGCGGCGTAGGACAAAGGCGACGAAACTCTCCCAACCGGTTTGGAACGTTTGAATTAATTTTCTTTCGAGTCCCGCTGCGCGTCGCGCTTGACGAGCACACACAAGGACAGAAAACCAAGCCCACCTGAACTCCTCGCTCTTCATGTCCAAAGGAGTGGACTCCCGCTCGTTGGCCGCGCGAGCCACCGTGGTGAACCTCTCCCGTGGCTCTGGCGCCCCGGCTCCTCCGAGCACCAAACCTTCCCCGGCCTGCTGCAGGAGAGCGAACGGAGAGAAGAAAACGTGCGAGGGTTGTAAGCCTCTGCGAAGATTTTCAAGACAGGGTGACATGCTCTTGAGCACGAGAGAGAAAGATTGTGGTACGCCGGGGCGAGAGGCGATGGGCAACAAAAAGGTGGCGAGTGTTGTGCATGCATGCTGGTAGCGGCAGAGGGGACAACTCTTCCAAGAACAAAAGAGGACGGTGGACACACAAAAAAAAAAGAAGTGGTATGCATACATAGGTCAACGGAAACCTCCCCCGCCAGCAACACAGCAAGAACACTGTCCCGAGACCGGCACCTGAATGAACACAACGAACGCGGAAAATGTATCGACAGGCGCACGCAGGGAGACTGCTGTCGCCGCCACGCCAGAACGTACCCGTGGCGGGTGGGCGACGGCCCTCCTGCGCGTCTTCACGGAGTCCTCTGTGACGGTGTCGGCTGCCGGAACTATTCCGTGTTCCTCCGACCGGACTATCGTCTGCGCAAGAGTGCCGATTTTTCGAGCAGGGGAGCGAGCATTCATCGCTGTTTTGTCCTTTTCACGTGTACCGCATTGAGTGTCTGCCCAATTGACCACGTACAATGTAATGCATACACAAGATGTATTTCAAAGACTGCAGGGGGCGGTAGTCGGTGGCAGGATGGTCTCCAAGCAACTAGAAGTCAACATATGTTGAGATCTACAGCAAGATACGCCATGCATACCCCGAGAGCAAGAGCAGGCATCTCGGCGGGACGGCGGCTGTCCCGAGCGAACTAAATGTACTCCATACAGTTGTACACGATGAGACAGGCAGGAAATCGAACCAGCCTGTTTTTGCAAGAAAATACTTGAGCCAGCGCCTACATGCACAGATGCACCGCTTCAGCTACAGCTAGGAGTGTAGTCGGGATTGTCTACACCGCCGTTGACATGTATATGTGTGTCTTATTAGCATCGGCCGCGCTACCCGGCTGACCAATGAAAGACGTCAGTCTTAGGGCGGTTGAAAACACAAGATGCTTCTAAAGGCCACGATCTGGGACCCTGTGACCGAACATCATGGGGGAGTCTACGCTACTCTCCGGGATAAAAAGACAGATACCATGTATGTGTGCAGAAATTCGCCTTACTTCTCTGTGAGCGGCAGGTAGCCCGGTGTGGTGCATTCGGCGGCCAGCGGTATGTCGAGGAGCGAAGCCCGACCAGTCCGCGGAGGCGTCCTGCGGGTCGTAGACGACATCGCCGTTCCGCCCCGCCTCGGGGGCGGCGCTGCAGGCTGTCGGCGCCGGTGCCGCGGTGACCTTGACGTTCGAGAACTGCTGGCTATCTCGATAGCCGTCGAACTTGCTCCGGGAGGCTTGCTCCTGGAGCCAGGACTGCCTTTGGCGGTTTGCGAGATTTTAGTCGTGCGATTCAAGGAGGGGCGAATCATTTTACTGCAGCTCTTAGGAAGATGTAAGCGGCCTTATGCAGCTGTAGTTTGGAACGAGTCTGGGTTTGCTTTGAACGGAGTACAATGTTGCCGGACGCAGGTACGGACTGGTATCTACTCCATACAACAGTAGTAGGTTATGTGCCTGCGGCTGTTCTTATCTTGTACCATGGTATTCATCCTGCTGTCGCTTAGTCAATTTTTCAATTTTCAAGTCCTTTTCATTATACTCCGTACAATATCAGGAGAATAGACTCTAGGGGGTAAGAGGAGGATTTCAAGCTCATCGTTCGTTCGCACTGACGGCTGTACTATGTGGATAACCATAGTGACGAGGAGAACGGTTACGCTTTTCGGAGAAATAGTCTGTATCTAAATCTTATCTTCGCTCAACCCGCAAGACAATGTGCACGATGGGAGACAACAAGTTCAACGAAATGCATCCCACTCACACGCTCCATTGTTGTCGATGAAGGACAAAGACGGTGTAGTCCGTGTAGCGCCTGATGCCGACTGGCAAAGACTGCTGCCGCCTGATGTGCTGGTGAAGGGACCGTGGTGAAGGCATCACAAAGACAACGCAAACGAGGCACCCACGACCCCCCCCCCCCCCCCGTTCGCTCGACAGTAGATAGGGACAGTGGGAATCTCATTAATCCATTCATGCGCGTCACTAGTTAGATGACGAGGCATTTGGCTACCTTAAGAGAGTCATAGTTACTCCCGCCGTTTACCCGCGCTTGGTTGAATTCCTTCACTTTGACATTCAGAGCACTGGGCAGAAATCACATTGCGTCAACACCGTCTCCGGCCGTCGCAATGCTTTGTTTTAATTAAACAGTCGGATTCCCCTTGTCCGCTCCAGTTCTGAGCCGGTTGTTCAACGCACGGGGAAAGGCCGATCGAAGAAAGGCCGTTCCAAGGCCGTCGCTGAGGCAGCCGCCCAGGGTCCG